TTAAAATAGATTTCTGCAATGGAGGAGCAGGGAGTGCACAAACATTTTTATTTTTGCTCTCAAGCAAATCCCGGGACGTCATTCTCCCCCTGTACTCGGCCTTAGTGAGGCCGCAGCTGGAGTACTGTGTCCAGTTTTGGGCTCCACAATTCAAAAAGGATGTGGAGAAGCTTGAGAGAGTCCAGAGAAGAGCCACGTGCATGATCAGAGGTCAGGGAAGCAGACCCTATGATGACAGGCTGAGAGCCCTGGGGCTCTTTAGCCTGAAAAAGCGCAGGCTCAGGGGTGATCTGATGGCCACCTACAAGTTTATCAGGGGTGACCACCAGCATCTGGGGGAACGTTTGTTCACCAGAGCGCCCCAAGGGATGACGAGGTCGAATGGTCACAAACTACTTCAAGATCGTTTCAGGCTGGACATAAGGAAGAACTTCTTTACTGTCCGAGCCCCCAAGGTCTGGAACAGCCTGCCACCGGAGGTGGTTCAAGCGCCTTCATTGAACACCTTCAAGATGAAACTGGATGCTTATCTTGCTGGGATCCTATGACCCCAGCTGACTTCCTGCCCTTTGGGCGGGGGGCTGGACTCGATGATCTTCCGAGGTCCCTTCCAGCCCTGATGTCTATGAAATGAAATCTATGAAATCCAGAGAGACCCGGCACTGGGTGGAAGCTTCCCTGACCTGGCATTCCCGCTGACTCCTGTGGCCTCTTGCCTGCGTCCAGATGCTGGATCTGCAGAGCCAGGAGAAAGAAGGTTTTGTGAGAGTTTGCAACTTTTCAGAGATAAGATGCTCCGTACCAGAGGCCATGTGCTGCCCCAACTCAGATAGGGGGTTGGCTGTGGATGGGTGCCCAGGGACCATGGTAATTTGACTGGGCAGGCCTGGGCCCAGGCAGCTGCTGGGTGATCTCCCTATCCGCACACGCCCTTCTGGGGCCAGGAGTCCATCCGGTGTTGGCCTCAGCAGCCTGCTTCCCCCCCACTCCCCGTATTGTCCCCAGGGCTCCATGGCTCCAGACCTCCCCCCCACAGGACAGCCACTCTGCTGTGCTGCTGCCCAGCCCATGGCACCCAAGTTTGTAGGCTCCCAGACAACTGGGATAAGGAGCTGGCTGCGCCCCCAACTTCCCCATGGGGAGCCTCTCTGGGGAGGTGCCCTGAGGCCAGCCTTCTTCCACACTGCCATCGTGCCCCAAGTATGCCTCTGCTGCATGTGCCCCAGGTGGTGCATGATGAACTGTTTGTGCAAGCTGAGGTGTGCCCAAGCCACTGCATCCTGCTGCTGCTGCTAATCCTCATGGTGCCCTGGGTGCTCCTGCACTCCTGGTTTGGGACCCTGAGCTACACCAGCAAGGGGGGCAAGCCTGGGCTGCCTCTCAACCTCTGCTGCTGCCTGGAGAGTTACCTGTGGCAGTGCTACTTGTCCCTGCCTCCCACTGCCAAGGAGGACATTTCCATCAGCATTGACACCTTCCTCGAAGTGTGAGAGGCCCATGCCAATCTAGTTCTGGGGGGCATAATGTGTCCTGCTTCTCTGAATGCTGGAGGTGGGGGACAGGTAGGGAGGGGAGGCTGGGTCAGGGGCTGGGGCTTGGGGCAGGAGTTGGGGCTGGGGCAGGAAGGGCCCTCCCCACAGTGTAGGCCTCACCATGTGGCTGGGGCTGGTGAGGCTGGCAGCTTGGTGCAGTCTTCCCCATCAACAATGGTGTCCAGCTGCGCCTGGTGTTCTGGTCCCTCAGTGCATGATGTACAGGTGCCTGGCCAGGGTACCTGCCTGGGGAGGAGCTGGTGCTGCTTACAGTGACATGGCAGGCAGCAGCTGCTGAGGCAGGTGCTGGCCAGGGAACCCTGAGCTGCTGGTGGACTGTGCAGCCAAGGAGCTAGGCAGGATGGGATGCTGAACACCCAAGGGTCCCTTCTCCAATGATATATCACTGGAAAGGTCAGGGCTGGGTGGGGGCTTGGGCAGGCTGCCTATGCTGGTAAAAACTGCATAATTTTGGCCTAGGTCCTGGGGTGCCAAAATGCAGGTCAGCTGCCACGTAGATGGCATGGATTTGCGGGCATGGCCAGACTGACAATTGTGGTCGGTCACAGCCACCCATTGTGCCTGCAAGGCCTTGGCCTTTATGTGACACTGCCGCACTGACTGGGAGTGCCCATTCTCCTTACCCTGCTCAACAGGGCATCATAAATGTGGACGTTCAAGCGCTCAAATTGGCACAGCACTTCTACATTGCCCCAGAGCACCATGAGGTTGCCAACCTCCTTCTGGCTCCATTTGGGGCCCCAGGTGAAGGGCATGGGTATGCACACACAGACTAGACAGGGAGGACAAGGCCATTGTGGGTCCTGCACCAGCTTTCTGGGACCCTGGCTAGCTGTCTCACTGTTGCTGGCCCTGGGTAGCTGCCAGCAGCACCCAGCATGGGGCACAGCATAGGACTGTCAGCTGTGTGGCAGAAACAATGCCCTGCAGTAGTTGTAGACACAGGGTAGGCTGCTGGGGCAGGTGGCCTGGCCCTGCTGCCAGAAGCTGTCTGCAGGGCACTCTGAGGTGCTGACAGGCTGGCCAGGGGCTGCAGCAGCCTACAGCAACAGATGTGCACCCACCTGCCTGACAGCGTTGCCCTGGCAGCCACAAGGCTGTATAGGGCCACACAGGAGCAAAGGATGCCAGAAAGACAGGCACAGCTCAGCTGTGGCCTGCCCAATGGGGCACACACAGCCTGCACTGCTTTCAGGCTACCAGTGATTTGTGCCTCAGGGCAGGCAAGTCATTTTTGTGGTATTAGGGGCCATGGGGTGGGGGCATCTAGAGGGCAGAGCCCAGAGGCAGGCTGCTAGCATCCTAGCCTCTGACTGTTCTCCCATGGGTGCCCACGCCTCAGGTGGGGGGCTTGTCCAGGGGCAACAGCAGTTGCTGGTGGATCCCCCTCTGTCAGGTTGTGTCTGTGGCCAGCAGGGCTTGCATGTAATCCTGCCCCCACTGCTGGCAGCTGCTGGTGGGTGACAGGCAGGTCTGTGCCCTGGGTAGCACTAGATCCAGGGAGGGGGCCAGGCCAGGGTCTCCTAGTGGCTGGAGGCAGCAGAGGACCTCCTTCCAGGCCCAGGCAGGTGCCTGCTGCAGGGTGGCGGGAAGCTGCCAAGGGGCCTGCAGGGCTAGGGATGGGGGATGGAGAGCAGCTGGCATGAATGAGACTGCCAGGCCCAGGATGGTGTCCAGCACCTGACAGTCATCATCTGTGGCCTGCACTGCCTGGCCCAGGATGGTGTTTTGCTTCCTCAATACCTGGATCCACTAGCATTCCAGGGCTAGGAGCTCAGTCCAGAACTCCTGGTTAGCCCAGTCCCGCACCTTCTCATGGGCAATGTTTTCCACTCACCACCTGTCCTGGTAGGCCATGTCCTCCACCTGCTAGGCCTGTGCACCCTACTGCCCAGAAGGTGTCTGCAGGCAGCCCTAGGGGAGTGGCAGGCATGGCCAGGGGCTGCAGCAGCCTGAAGCACCCTTCAGCACCCTGCTGCCCCAATGGTACTGCCCTGGCAACCATATGGCAGTGCAGAGCCAGGAGTACACACAGGGCGTGCAGTGTCCTCAGGCTGCCTGTGTTATGTGCCCCAGGGCACAAAACATCTGCAGTATTTTATAGCCTGCAAACAGGGGCTGCCATAGAGGCAGCCCAGCCCTGGAGCAGGAGAGGCTCCTCGCAGCCCTGGGGCTGGCCTCAGCCCGGCCTCCTAGTGGGTGGGCAGACCTGGGAGCTAACTTGCTCCTGGGTTGCATCTACATGTGCCTTACTGTGCTTTAACTAATCCAGCTTTAATTTGCTAGTTGCATTTGCAAGTAGCAAATTTAAGCAAGATTAAAGATTTTTACTGGACAGTAAGTGTGCACACATTTAGATGGCCATGCTTACAGCACAGTACACTGTGCCAATGCACAGTAACATGTCTTGTGTAGACACGCCCAGTATGTCTCTTCCTGCATTTCTGTAACGTTCCTGAAACGTTTGAAATCAACTTTATAGTCAAACAAAATTAGGACAATTCCTGCTTTTCTTTTGTCAGTTAAAAGAGGATTGCACTAGCATGACTGGAAGTAGAATTTGTCCCCATTGTTTTAAACTTTCTGAACATAAGGTGACCTACTACATTCTACTTTGAGTCAGTTCAACTGTATTCCAAATGCATTGCTGAAACATAGAAAGTAGATTTTAAATACCTTTATAATGTTTTAATTTTAGTTAGACTTTTATTCTAGTTTTATTTTTCAGCTAGGGGATCTTGTTGGTCCCTTTCTTTTAATAGCACATGTGTTTTGGTATTCCCTGTGGATATTAAGGGGACAGAATGCAAATAGGTATGTAGACATCCAAGTCATTCTTTAAAGAGAGATTATATTTTGGATTGTGGCTTAGAAATAGCTCACAACTCCATCCCTTTGTATCAATAAAACTATGCTAAGAGCATGAGAATTGCTCTGCAAATTCCCTGACATAAGAGAAATCCTCAGGTGTTATTGAGCTGGTATGGCTGCAGGGAGAGTAGCTGGGATAATTAAGCTGTGAATTTTCTCCTAACCCTTTTGCTATCACCTATGGCAGTAATGGAAATCTCCTATTTAATGCTGTCTTGATGAGTAAATAACTTACACAATTTTTTGCATTTCTTTATTTGAGCAGAAGAGAATAACAAGCAGAATCAATATTTGGGGAAGTCATTATATGAACATATTTTGCATTAGGTTTTGTAAATGAGCTTGCTTTAGAGGCTGGTAAATTAATGAGTTAGTACTGGTAAGAAATTCACAGAAAGGTTTAGTGTATTTCACTTGAAGCTACATTGATCTTTCATGGCATGGATCTGAAACTGCTTTTGATTTTCCAACGATAATTATTTATCTTATGGTTTAAAGGGATCTTTTTCCTTACATTAACATCAAAATACCAAATCTTAATGTAATCATCACTGATACATATCTTTGGTTTCTTAGGTAACAATGTTTGTGCTTCATTTGGGAAGTGCCACTTTCTTGTTAACAGAACCAGTGATAAGTGCAATGACAACTGGGGCAGCTACGCATGTCGTGACTTCACAAGTGAAGTATCTTTTGGGAATGAAAATGCCATATATATCAGGACCACTGGGATTCTTTTATGTGAGTTCACCAAAGGAGATTTGCATTTTTATTTGCTAACATTTTGTTTAAAATCTATAGCTTTTTGTGAGATTATATGTGCATGTTGGGGGCAAACTAAACTCCTTCTATTAGCATTAATGGCATTTAGAGCCCGTAAGGACTGCCTGAGTTTGAACTAGCAAAATTAGGCCTTGGGTTACATTACATTATCCAATTAAAAATAATCCAGTTTTGTAGTACTGTTAATAGTTACATATATTTGATTAAACAATTATAAATATTTAATCTTTTTCATATGTTAACAGAAGGAAAAACAAGCAAGTTTTATACCATTCCACATGAACAGTTAACTTTTGTTGTATGTCATGTCTGGGGGAACCCAAGATATTTCAAATTTCATTCTAAGCATGCTGCCTGTCATATTTTTGCTAAATGAACCCTCATTATCAGTGTAGCGAAATGAATGTCCAATAAATAGTTACCTTAGCTGTGCTACCGCTCTTTCATGACATAGTATAACTTTGTCGTACAGCATCTCAAGCTTGTATCTTTATTGTAATTTCCATATTATTAGTACATCTTTTTATATAGAGTTGTAGTTCTTTTGTATGATAACCCATTGTCTAGAAACGTCTACTGTAATAAAATCTTCAAGCTTATGTATCGTGACCATATTCTTCCAACACAAGCATGTTGTATCCTTTTTCTATACCTGCCATGCCAATGCAATGGAGCCCTTATCTGCATAAAGGAATATATCAGTGTGGCTCTGTGTTAGCTGATAGTTTTCATATATTCAGCCAATGAACAACTAATGAATGAGGTCTGTGTATACTAGCATAGCCCCTTGACCCTAGAATGTATATCTGTTTAGCCACTGAAGTGAAACTGGCATTTAAAGAACATTGAATATGTTTTCTTAAATCACCTCTGCTTTCTACTCCCAATCTGATTCACCATTCATTTTTGAGTGGCTGGCAGGAGGGGACATTGAAATGGCATCTCTGCTAAAATCTGTAGGTAGTAGGGAAATGTATGAATTCTGCGAGACAGGGTATTTTTCTATTTATAAATATTCTGTTGGTTATATTTTGTACACAATGCCTATTTATAATTTTTACAAGGCCCAATAAATTATTAATGGCTGTTATAGCCATCTAACAAATATGAATAATATATGTTATAGACGGTTATAAACAGATAAGTAAAAATTGCTATAAGCCATGACTATAAAATAGCTTATTGAGCTTTATTTTAAAAATAGATTAACCATTGAATGGCTCTTGTATCCTAACTATAAAATGTATCCTTTTTTTTATATCTGCCATGCCAGAGCCACGGAGCCCCTATCTTCATAAAGGAATATATTAATTTGGCAGAAATGACTAATATCAACTAAAGCAGCCAAGAAATAATCAAAGCAGTAGTATAGTATAATAAATAATAAGGAACAGCAATGATGCAAATAAATATTTCTGTCTTGGGCGGCTGGTAATATCATAAATGAAGTCTTCAGAAAATTTTCAAGGTTATCTATTCCCTTCTCCCTTGTATTTTTGTCGGAGCTGGCTGTCATTCATAGATTCATAGATTTATAGATGCTAGGGTTGGAAGGGACCTCAATAGATCATCGAGTCCGACCCCCTGCATAGCCAGGAAAGATTGATGGGTCTAGATGACCCCAGCTAGATGCATATCCAACCTCCTCTTGAAGACCCCCAGGGTAGGGGAGAGAACCACCTCCCTTGGGAGCCCGTTCCAGACCTTGGTCACTCTAACTGTGAAGAAGTTCTTCCTAATGTGCTCTCTGCTAGCTTGTGGCCATTATTTCTTGTAACCCCCGGGGGCGCCTTGGTGAATAAAACCTCACCAATTCCCTTCTGTGCCCCCGTGATGAACTTATAGGCAGCCACAAGGTCGCCTCTCAACCTTCTCTTGTGGAGGCTGAAAAGGTCCAGGTTCTCTAGTCTCTCCTCGTAGGGCTTGGCCTGCAATCCCTTAACCATACGAGTGGCCCTTCTTGACCCTCTCCAGGTTATCCGCATCCCTCTTGAAGTGCGGTGCCCAGAATTGCACGCAGTACTCCAACTGTGGTCTGACCAGCGCCCAATAGAGGGGAAGTATCACCTCCTTGGATCTGTTCGTCATGCATCTGCTGATGCATGATAAAGTGCCATTAGCTTTTCTGATGGCTTCGTCACACTGCTGACTCATGTTCATCTTGGAGTTCACTAGGACTCCCAGATCCCTTTCCATTTTCGTGCCCCCCAGCAGGTCATTCCCTAGGCTGTAGGTGTGCCGGACATTTTTCCTCCCTAGGTGCTTCACTTTGCATTTCTCCTTGTTGAACTGCATTCTGTTGTTTTCTGCCCACTTGTCCAATGTATCCAGGTCTGCTTGCAGCTGTTCGCTGCCCTCTGGCATGTCCACTTGTCCCCACAGTTTTGTGTCATCCGCAAACTTGAACAGAGTACACTTCACTCCCTCGTCCAAGTCGCTGATGAAGACATTGAAGAGTATCGGTCCTAGGACCGAGCCCTGCAGGACCCCACTGCCCACACCCTTCCAGGTCAAAACCGACCCATCCACCATGACTCTCTGGGTGCGACCCTCTAGCCAATTCGCCACCCACCGGACTGTGTAGTCATCCAAGTCACAGCCTCTTCACTTGTTCACCAGTATGGGGTGGGATACCGTATCGAAGGCCTTCCGGAAGTCTAAGTATACGACATCCACCCCTACTCCTGCGTCCAGGTGTTTCATAACCTGGTCATAAAAAGAGACTAGATTAGTCAGGCATGTGCTATGAACCCATGCTGGTTTCCCCTCAGCATAATTTGTCCTGCCGGGCTTTCGCAAATGTGAGCCTTGATAATATTTCAAAGACTTTGCCAAGGATGGAGGTGAGACTGACTGGCCTATAGTTCCCCGGGTCCTCCTTCCTCCCCTTCTTGAAAATGGGGACCACATTGGCCCTTTTCCAGTCCTCCGGGACTTGGCCCGTGCACCACGAGCGTTCAAATATTCCCGCCAGTGGCTGTGCAATGATCATTGTTGACCTTCTTATGCTGAAATCAAATCGTTTCTTCCCATGTTCAAGTTATACAAAACATGACCAACGTATTTGAAAAATGCTGAGTTACTGTTTAAAAAAAATCTTTAAAATGGTGATTGTGAATGATGAAATATCTGTTTATTAGAATAAATGAATTTACCTTAAAGATGCTGCAAAAATGAGAAACTTTCCTAGCACATATTTATATTGCTTTTCAGTATTTTAGTCAGAAACGTTACATGATATATTGCCAATATTAGTTAATATGGTATTAGTTACATATGAAAAATGCACCAAATAATTATGTACATGTAACTAAGACGTGAAATGCAAGTTTGGCAACCATTTTTTTGTACATTTTCTTTCCACACAAATTCATGTATTTAACCTGTTCTTTTCTCCACTCCTCTGAAACCTATTACCACTAAAGCCATTTTTTTCTCTGGCTTGGACACCCTTCTGGACTGCAAGGCAGGAACCAAGAATATTAATAAAATGTGATAGGAATGTCAAAGGGAAAATAAACCAATGAAACATAGTCTTTTATAAAGAGTGAGATCACAGTTAAATACATACAAATGAGATGTATATGTGTAGAACAAATCTGCTTTGAAGACTTTGGGACTCTGGGATTTCTGAGTAAATAACATACTTCTGTGATTTATTTAATCACTTTTTTCCTGTAAACTGTAACATTTCCATTTTTCTGTGCATGGTACCATCTAAAAATGCAGGAGAAAAGAGTCCCCAGCTTAAAAGTTATTTATGGAAGGAAAAGGGGATTGAGGTAGAAAGAAAGAGGTGGTGGGAAAAGATAATGTGAAGTCTTGTTTTACAATCATAAAATCATAAGAAACAGGACTAGAACAGACCTTAGAAGTCATCTAATCCAGCTACCTGCTCAAAGCAGGATCATCCCTGCTTAAATCTGTGCGGGCCAGCTCCCGGTCCCATCCTCGCTGGGCGCGAGCCGGGCCCGTCTGTGTGCACGCGGGCTGTGGCCGGCAGCCCGGGCACGCGGGGCCAGAGAAAAGTCGCGGGGTGGAGTAGTACGCTTGAGCTAGAATCAGTCACGGAGGCGTAATGGTTGATTGAAAAGATTATTTACTTACACCGGAGATGGTCGCGGTGTCGGCTGGTCAGCTTTCCAGGCTCAGCTCCGCTTGAGTTCTCGGTGGAGGACTCTAATAAACTCGGTTCCTTGACCCCGGAGTGAATCAGGCTCCGCAGGGTTCAAGAATTCGTTCCCACGGAGCAGCTGTATCTCCGTGAGTGTTACTCGGTTCCCAGGATCCTCGGAGTGGTTTAGACTCCATGGTTTTGATAATTGGGTTCTAGGGTAGGGATTCGTCTGGGCTGCGATCGGTGACGGGGAGAGGCTAGAGGCCGTCGGTAAGTTGTGCCCCGGAGTTTGCTAGGCTCCGGGGGTTTGGCAATTGGAGCCTCTATCACCTTCTTAAGAAAGACGTGCTGGGTTCGAAAGGACCCACAGCACTTAGAGATCCGTCTCTCCCTCCGTCTCTCTCCGTCTTTCTCTCCAACTTGGGCGGAAACCACCCAAGCCTTTTGTATGGCTAGCAAGCCAATAGCTAGCTGCCGCGTGTGCCTAAATTAAGACCGGCCAATAATGTGGCTCAAATCTCAATACAAATGGCGGGAAAACTCCTTTGCAGCATGCATCACTAAATGCTAAAGTAATGCACAGTGCAAAGAAGGCTACAGAACGGCGGGAAACACTTTTTTGCACGTGGGTTCTCCATAACAACAGAACACTCCGTCATGCAAAAGAGCTCCAATTCGGCGGGAACATAATTTAGCGGTGCCGAAGCACACACAATTAAAAAATCCACAACTTTGGGTTGTGAAAAAATCATCCTAGTCAAGTGTTTGTCTAACTCATGGATTCCAGCTTCTAAGTGGCTGGGGACCAAACACCCCATAGGCTGCATCAGGGAGAGCCACAAGTCAGTGAAGACAACAAACTGCTGGAAGAGATTGGGGATGCTGAACCAAACCTATGGGCAGCATTGTAGCGGGCCAACTGCTGGGAAAGGTCAGACCTATTTCTACAGCATTTTATACCAACATCAAATGAGTCCCCCAGTGGGCATGACCTTGCATGGATCAAGCTGAATGCACTGAGATCTGGATACAGGTGCTTTAAAAGAACACTTCACAAGATGAACATCTTGGACAGCCCCCTGTGTGAATGAATGTCCATCAGAAAGCACAGCACTTCATTGATATCTCTTCATCTTAATCACAGGGGTTTGTGCCTTTGTTTTCTGAATCTTCAAATTTGGAACAGTTCCCTGGGGGCTAAATTTCTTTAGTATGTCTTACTCATCTCAGAAAGTAATTGAGGGTATTTTGAACTGGAGGTAATCAATTATTTTGGAGTGAACAAACAAAAGAATATGAGTTATGTAACCCATTTTACAGTAGCCAGCACCCAGCATTTATGGCAGATAGTCACATGTTCATTTTTGTGAGTGGATGAATGCTTTCTCAGTGTGTCAGTGAGCCATGTGACTTGAAAATGTTTGATATTGTTATTGCATTGGTTCCCTTATATGCTATTAAGTGATAGATTAATCAGATTTAATAGTTAAACCATCAGCGTTTGAATTAAATAAAACCTGTTCATTGACATGTGCTGGTAGACTTACAATATTTCATTAGTGATCCCAAGCTCAAATAAGTGGCTCTAGCTTTGTTTTACCATGTCATTATCTCAGTGAATTAAGTAGGAGCTTTACATTTTTAAGGAATAAATAAAATCTCAATTCTTGCCCCTCTACTAGTAAGCTTGTTTTGTCATACACTCAAGATAATTTTTTTTAAATTTAAAGTGTGTTTATTGCTAGAAATGTACAGTACTCTTTATATCTAAATATTTTGCAAGGTATTCACATCTTTCTGAACTGTTGAAGGTTGTCTTGTAATAGTAGATAAATGATTTATTTCTCTACAGAATTTGGAACAAATGTCAGTATATCAGATTACTTAACTCTTACAGCATTGGCTCATGTCTCAAGGATAATTCTGAGGAATAATATGCAAGAATACTTAGGGTATGCCCTATAGCATGAAAGATATATTCTAGAATGAAGCATTTTACATCTCTAGTTGTTGTTTGTCTGTCTGTTTTTATTCACTATAGATTTATGCCTACATTTTTGAAAATATCAAATCGGTTCAATTAGAAGCTTTACTTCTGTCCTTGCTGAGCATTGTGGTGCTTGTTCTCATTAAAGAACTGAATGAAAAATTTAAAAGAATCATTAAAGTCATTCTTCCCATTGATCTAGTTTTGGTAAGTATGGAGTCAGATATTCACACAATCTGCCAAAGTTTACTGTATTGTCTATAGTTACCCACAGTCACACCTGCCTCTTATTAAATCTAAAGCTAATTTTCCTTGTTAAATGTTAATGTAAAAACAAGAAACAGTTTGGCCAAATAATTAAGAAAGAAGTCACATATGTTCTCAGTTTATAAAACATTTTTCATATATTTACTATTTATTACATAAATACAAGACTTTGAGGCCTAAAATGTTAAAATATGGGAAGTTTTAAATATAAAAACAAAAGAGTAATTGTTGTTGTGAAGCAGTAAGAGAGGCCAATGTTGGCCAACTGCAGTTAAACATTATTTCTTACATTTATTCATGAGAACAACTACACTACCACTTTCTATAACTTTTTTTCCTGTTTTCTTTATGTATAGTGC